CGAGGGAGTCACAGCATGGACTGGATGAGGGGATCGAAATTGGGGGAATAATAACATGTCTGAATAGCGTTGATTTTTTTTTTTTCTTTGTGTCTGCCTGAATCTCAAATGGAGATGAAAGAGGCAGTGGGACGGGAGAAAAATAGGTAATGCACAAGCACAGGAATTTGAAGAAGAAAGAGTCGGACGTAGTGATTTGTATTAACATATTTCTCTCCTTGTTTGTGTCTTCTGCGAACTGAGAGAACACACAGACAACACACATGTCCAGCAAAGAATTTGAAGGCTTTGATTTCCAGAATGTTGAAGGACACTAATGTAAATTAAAAAAAAAAGAAGGTGGCAGGGTCAAATGGAAATGCGCAGTAAGCTCTTATAAAGCTCTTAATATGCTAATGTGATGTGTACTGCTAACATATGTAATCACAGCTCGCCCACTTGAAACAAAGGTTGTGTATTGAAGGTCTGCAAACAGGCTTCTGTGAAAAGCTTTCTAACGTTTCTATGGACTTCCAGGAAACCACTAAGGGTTGCTCTTTGTTGAAATCAGCAGGTCGGCTCCACTTAGATAAACTGAATGATTACATTCGTCTGGATATGCCTATTTCTCTGTTTTACATATAGCAATACCCAGTCTGAAACTTTGTGCAGTGGTGTTTCAGTCCTGTCTAAGGACTGAAATCAAGCTCATTTTAAAATGATCTTTCTAGGTTTTGGAACTCATTTTAAAATGATCTTTCTAGGTTTAGGAATCATGGTGCTTTGGCCCAGAGGTAATGTCTCCGTCATTGGTGTGGAACCCCAGGGTTCACCTCCTGGGTAAGATCCAATCCCAGTTAGGGTGGTTGGTACCTTCCAGTGGACTCTCCACCTGCAGGAAGGTTTAGGGGGGGGTTGGTATGGTGGAGTGTGATTTGGGTGGAGACTACTGCCTCCACGACCCGGTAACGGATAAGCGGATGAAAATGGATGGATGGGTTTAGGAAATATCAGATTTGGTTATAGCGGATGAAAATGGATGGATGGATTTAGGAAATATCAGATTTTGCAGAACTGGTTGCAAAATTTCAAGAATTAAATTATGTTACATTTGAAGGTATTTATAAATTTGATGTGTTTGAAATTGTTTCTTTTTTAAATTAAATTTTAAGGCTTCAAGCTTTGATCAAATAAAAACTTAACGTAGCTCTAAATGACAAAGACCTATATAAATCCAGGAGAACACTTCACCGTCTAATGAGTCGTATTTCAAACAGCTGTACATGACATGTTCAATGATTAATGAATGCAAGCCCTGCTCACGTTGCTACTGGATCTAATGTTCGCAAATGATCGGAAAACAAACTGTTCTTCTTCGTTGTATCACGGGGCAGGACACGGAACAAGAACCAAAGCAGCAGACTGAATGTGCGTTGGTAATTAAAGTGACAGTGGTTGTTTGTCCATTCAAGTGACTCGTCTAATGAATGTGAGCTATGGCTATACAACAGGGCTCATTAAGCCTGTACTAAATGTTGATTAAAGCAGATCTCACTGTCAGCTATGGCTACATAAAAATCATTGACGCTACAAGAGACAACAGTGATTTGATGACGTCTGTGTGTTTTTTCATTTGTCTCCGTGTGCTTCTGTTTTGAATAAATGGAGCTATATTTGAGTCAGCGTCTAACGAGTCAAAGGTCAAGGTCAATAAAAGGGCAACAATGTATGGACAGATCTCAGTGTGGGCTGATGTTCGTCAGTCTTGGCGGCACACACACCGCTACAGTGAGCCGCAGGTCATCATGTTCTGGTACGAATGATTCCATCATGATGATGTCAGAAAATTAAATCAGCACATGCTGTAATGCGTTTACCACTCCAACCAATGAGATCAGAGACAGGATCCTCAGCATATTTAGATGAATGCATTTAATGCCATTGGTGAAATGCAAACATAAGGTAAAAGACCAGGATTTTTCTGGACACACACCTTGGAGCCAGACACAAGTAAATAAAAAAAAAATCACAGTTTTGTCTAACATAATTATTTGACGTTTATTTTGGAATCCAGTTGCGGGCCGGATTTGATGGTTCGGCGGGCCAGATTTGGCCCCCGAGCCGCCAGTTGATGATCGCTACTATATGGGATTTGGCTGCCCAGTAACA